ATATATATATATATATATATATATATTCCCATGTGAGTTTTCCCATGGCATTTTCCAAACATGGACAACTGACTGACATTGGTTCATCGCCTGACAGATGTTGGTTCACCTGCATGCTCACCTTTCGTATATGAGCCTGCAGACCTTTGAGCCCGTACATACGAAACACAAACCACAGCTTCAAGGAACGAAATCTTCTTCCCAACGGAATCTGCCAGTGCTGCAGGAGAAAACAAGTTATTTCTACATTTACATTAATACTTATATTATAAACTCTTACATTCTTTAATCTTACCCTGTAATCTGTAACCAGCCCTGTTTAAAGAAGAAGAAAAAAAAAACATTATTTGTCATTTTATACTTTTAAGGCTGAACATTCTACAAATACAGATAAACTTGTGTAAATGGTAAACGGACTGTACTTATACAGCACCTTTCTATCTTATCAAGACACTCAGTGTTTTACAGCACAACCTGTGCCCTCATTGACCCCTTCATACAGCACTCTACTCTTTCTATACAAAGACTAATCAGAGCTTTATCACATTCATACACTGATGGGACACACATCAGATGCAATGAGGGGTTCAGGGTCTTGCCCATGGGCACTTCAGCATGTGACTGCTGGTGGAATCGAACCCCCATTGGAGGACAACTGCTCTAACCACTCAGCCACAGCTGCCCCATGTAAAACCTTCTATCAAATTATTTTCTTTGTGCCAGACTCGTGCTGCATTGATTAAAGTGACAGTTCAGATCCTTTTAAGTGGTGCTCTTTGGAAAGATTATAAACAGTTATTATCTTACCTGCTGTAGATAATTTGTTAAACAACCTAGTTTCAGAGAAATAGCATTTTAATCCAATCTCCCTTATAATCTAGTCTGTGTTGGGCAAGATTAAATGGATTTATGACATCTTAAAACAAATCTAATCTTTATTGCTCGATGAGACTAACCTGTATAAATAAAGATTGAATGAATTAATATGTAAGTGTTTATACAAACGCATGTAAACTTTAAACTACACAGTTGGTTTCTCTTGGTCAGCTGTTAGTTGTAGCAAGAATATATTAATACTTGTGCCTGGACAGCCAAGTAATATAAAACTGACACCAATGCAAAGGATTATTAAAAAAAAGCATTTGCACAAACTGATATAATTTTGTTGTTGTTTTGATCTTAGCTCATCAGTCTGATCAGAACTAAACCGTGTCCCTTTTAAAGAGCTAATAAAGACAATAAAACAAAAGTCTTACTAATTTGAACTATCACTTCAAATGAATAATAATTAATCATTCTTGCTTTAGCCCTGTATTACTTGTAAAGTGTTATTTTTGTGTCAAAATCCAGGTGTTTTCCTACATCACTGCTGAATGTCAGTTGGAGTTAAAAACCATTAATTAGACTGAAGACTCCATATTGTTTTTGTGAGTTGCCTTGATGTGGTGGGTGGTATCTCTGTTCTCCTCTGAGTCAGACTGTCTGTCAGGAAAATTATAGTGAACCCATCTGAGACGACGTAGACCGCCTCACATGTCGCTAACAGAAATGTGTTCATGGAGACGTAGAATCAAACAAACTCTAAATCTTTAATCCTTTGAAGAGGTCCAGTTAGGGAAGTTGTATCTGTCATAGTGTTTTAAATTATTCATAAATGTATTGTTCCAAGGTGGATATGCGAGGTTGATTTGTAAAGATTGATACATCATAACCTGCACACCAAACAGAACCTTTGCTTGTTTGTTAGTAATCACATATTCAGATAATGATCATAGAAATGTCTCTACCTGACTCCTGGTTTTCATGTTTCAGGTAAAGTGGTTCCATTTTAAAGGCTCCAATGATGTCTGCTCTCTCCTTCACCCTGTCCACAAACAGAACCAAACCTTCTGTCACAATGAACGTTAAGACACCCCATGTTTGTGCACACAAGGTATATTATTTTGTTGCAGTTTAATCCTAAAGTATCCCAAGGTTATCAAAGTTTAATACCACCAGTAGGACATATTTTTAAAAAACTCAGCACAAATTTGGGATTTTTTTAAGCTGCAGTAGGACTTAGTTTTCCCAAAGATACAAACTAGAAGTAGCCGCTGCATAAAAGCTAGTTTTTTTCTTGAATGACGTGGAACTGATTCATTTCATGTCCCAAACTGAAGCCGTGCAGAACAGACCCTGTAGGTCTTAACCCACTCCTTTGACAGGAGTTTTATTAATTCACGTCTTACAGTTTTTCTCAGTTGCTAAAACACTAAACCCTGTTGTCTGAACCACACCTACTTCGTGGCTTCACTATATGGCGGGTTTTTTTAAACCTAGTTTTTTATATTGTGTGTACTGTACATGCTGTACACTACTGTACATTCATCTCATCATCATCATCTTCATCACAATCGCCAAAGTGTTTAAGAGCATACGAAGTGTTTTTAAGAGAGTGGGAAAGGTTAATCAGAGTATTGGAAAGATTTATAAAGCCTTAAATATATATACAGTATATACAGTTATATATATCAGCGGTGAGCAAACTTCTGGACTCGCGGGCCACATTGAGTTCTAACATTGGAGCGAAGGGCCAGGCCATAATTTATTTAATATTTTTACTACAAGAGCTAAACAGGAGTTTTGTTAATAAAAATGCTTTGTGGATAGTAAAGATGATTTCAATTTTTTTATGATCAGATCATTATATTTTCTTTTTTCTAGGTTGTGTGAAATGACTGTTCAATGGTGTTTTTAATTTTGATTGACTCAGGGTCAGATCTGACTAAATTGTTTGCTTGTGAGCATTGTTTGAATTGTTTTGCAGCAATAATTTGTTTTTTATAAAAAAGAGTCAGAGGTTTCATGAATATAGTTTCAAAATTGTGTCTTGTGTTTACAGTTTACAGAAATGGATGGATGGTTTTAAGAAATGTGTCTTGGCAGTTCAGAAAAGCTAACTATGTATAGCATTCTATGGGTAGAAAGTTCAGTCTGTTTTGTCTTTGTTTTTCTGCTGGTATACTGAGGTTTATTTTACATTTTCTTGACCTTTATGTTAATGGAAGTGATCCAGAAGATGCTTTAAAACGCTTAAATGTACAAAACATTACTCAATTAAATTAATAATTTATTTTGAATAAACATTCATTAAATGAATCAAATTAATTTTAGGCAGTTGGATCCCACTGCTTGTATTGTACAGTATTTGGGTCACTGAAACCTTTTAGATTCTCCTCCATTCACTGTATTTCTCAGTCTGAAACCATTTCCATCTCGTCCAGAGCAGCCAAGGTTTTCTGGATGCTGACAGAAGAGGCAGGTGGAAAACGTGGATTTATTTTTATCACAAATAAAAGGTGTGGATGGATACCAGCCCTCATTGTTATTTTACAGCATTGTGAGTCATTGCTCAGGTAAACTGGGAAACATTCTGAACAATAAGTGATTCTAATGACACTGTATATAAATGTCCTTTTGTTAAAGCTTTTTCCATCACCCATACAAACATTTACTCTTTTACATCATACAGGTAATTAGCTTGTTTCTGTTCAGGATTTTATTAGAAAAACTTCAAAATATGAATATGTCTGAAGTGTTTTGAACAACTTACCACATCGTAGAGCAGTCAAAGTTGATTAAAAGCCATTTGTGTGGGTTGAAGTTGAAAGAATCAGCAAACTTTAAAATGAAAGAGGACAAAATATTCAATATTTACTTGATTGACTGTTTAACTGCATTAGACTGAGTCAAACATGAAACAAAAACACTATCTGACAGTGTGAACGTGCTACCATGGACCTGTTTATGACAACAACACGGCTTTCTTTTTATTGGTGCAGAGAAAACCCTGTCACTGACAGTAACATCTGAGGAGGCTCAACTTATTTGAAATGCAAAAGAGAAAACAAGCAGCCAGCAGCTTGATGAGCAACACTGAAAATCAACAAGCGGTACACTGAAGAACCCCGTCATTGAGGGAGATGAATACTAAATGCTTGGAGATTAGTGTTTTTCTGGACTGGAATTCAACAGGGAATGCAAGTACCGTAAACCTTAATGTTGTTGGTGCAAGATATTCAATACGTAGGAGTTATGCTAGAACAGAGGGAGGATTCTTTCTTTTTTTTTCTTGTCCGAGTCAGTGAAGAATGGTGGATCCTGGTGAGTGGAAGGAGCAATTTTATCCACCATCAGGTGCAATGGTGGAGCCAAGTGGTGGTCAATGGTGGTCTTGACACCACAGATTAATATTCGGCCACCCCAATCATTTGAGCAAACTATACTTTTAAACAATATAATACTATGAAGCATATCTAAAAAAGTTAAATCTGGTCCTCTGGACATTCAAAAAAAAAAAAAACAAAGCAAAACAACAAAAAAATGTAGAAACGTTTCGTCTCTCGTCCGAGAGACTTCTTCAGTCTTCAGACAGAATGGTAATGTTCAAACAAGTGAGGAGATTGTGATGGGAAGATGGAAGGAGTACTTTGTACTTTGAGGAGCTAATGAATGAAGAGAATGAACATGAAGGAAAAGCAGAGGTCACATAAATTGTGGACCAGGAAGTGGGAAAAGATCAGTGAGGGTGAAGTCCAGAAAGCTCTGAAAAGAATGAAGAAGAGGAAGGCAGTAGGACCTGATGACATACCAGTGGAGGTTTGAAAATGTCTTGGAGAGATGGCAGTTTTGGAGGGTTTTGACTCAAATATTCAATGGCATATTTGAGGGTGAGAAAATGCCTGAGGAATTGAGAAGAAGTGTACTAGTGCCCATTTTTAAGAACAAGGGTGATGTACAGAGTTGTAGCAACTACAGGGGAATTAAGTTGGTGGGCCACATAATGAAGATCTGGGAGAGAGTTGTGGAAGCAAGACTTAGACGAGAGGTAACTATTTGCGAACAGCAGAATGGTTTCATGCCGAGAAAGAGCACCACAGACGCCATCATTGTTTTGAAGATGCTGATGAAGTACAGAGGAGGTAATAACTCCATTGTGTCTTTGTGGATTTAGAAAAAGCATCTGACAGGGTGCCGAGGGAGGAGGTGTGATATTGCATGAGGAAATCTGGAAGGGCAGAGAAGTATGTTAGACTGGTACAGGACATGTATGAGGACAGCAGGACAGTGGTGAGATGTGCTGTAGGAGTGACAGATCGATTCAGGGTGGAGGTGGGAGTGCATCAAGGATCAGCTCTGAGCTCCTTCTTGTTTGCTCTGGTGATGAATTGACTAACAGATGAGGTCAGGCTGGAATCCCCGTGGATTACGATGTTTGCAGATGACATTATGATCTGTGGTGAGAACAGGGAACAGGTGGAAGAGAACTTGGAGAGGTGGAGGTATGCACTTGAAAGAAGAGGAATGAAAGTCAGCCTTAGTAAGACAGATACATGTGTATGAATGAGAAGGAGGATGGTGGAACAGTGAGGCTACAAGGAGCAGACGTCACAAAGATTCAGGACTTCAAGTACTTGGGTCCACTGTCCAGGAAAATGGGGAGTGTGGTAAAGAGGTGAAGAAGAGAGTCCAGGCAGGATGGAGCGATGGAGAAAACTTTCAGGAGTTATTTGCAATAAAAAGGTGGCAGCAAAGGTCAAAGGAAAAGTTTACAAGACAGTGCTGAGACCAGCTATGCTGTATGGTCTGGAGACAGTGGCATTGACAAAATGACGAGAAATAACTGGAAGTGGCAGAAATGAAGATGTTGAGGTTCTCCTTAAGAGTGATAAGGATGGAAGGTTATGTGACAAGATTAGGAATGAGATCATCAGAGGTGCAGCACATGTTGAACAATTGGAAAATAAAGGTAAAGTTAGAGAGCCAGACTGAGACGGTTTGGACTTGGAAAAAAAAACAATGCAACCATATGTTCCTGTTTTGAGTATTCTAAATCGCTTTACAACCTAGCTGTTTATATTTTGTTTTTTAAATACAAATTTCTTTTATGTATTCTTCTCAATTTGTATGCTTTTTGTGATTGTCTATGTTATTGTCTTTGTTGTCTACTGTTGTCATCAGTCTTTGCTTAAATCGGGTCTCTCTTGTAGATGAGTCCCCGAGGCTCAATGGGATTAATCTGTATAAATAAAGGTTGAAGGAAAAAAAAATGTCCAGAGGGGGGACGGTGGGTATATTGGAAGAAGGATGTTAGAAATGCAGCTGCCAGGAAAAAGACAAAAAGGAGATATATGGATGCAGTTAGAGAGGACATGGAGGTAGCTGGAGTGAGAACAGAGGATGCAGAGGACAAAAAAACAGCCTTCATGTCTGGTTTACTCAAAGAAAATGGATCAATTCTCAATCTGCTCCTATCTTTTTGTCTATATTTTGTAATATCCTTTCCCCCGCCACTGCAGATGCAATAATGTGATGCAGAGAGACGACGTGAGGCAGTTTCCTGGCTGACAGTTGCCATGAGGACCGATTGAAAGGAGGTGGGCAGCAACCAACAAGATGATACTCCCATCCAGAGAGGTCACAATCCTCCTTCATGTCAAATAATATTTTCAAACACATTTCATTCAGCTTGTGATGTTTCATAGTTTTGTTGCATTATACCTCAGCTGTAACTGTTTGAATCTTTAATAACTATGGTCTAAATAACGTTTTTGGTTGTATTAAATAAAAGAAAATATGAAATTTCCAGCTTTTTCTCACAGAAAAGATGAAACAACTTTTTTTCTTTTTTGAAGTCCAATCTGCCTGATTCTGTCCATCTCCCCAGTAACCCTGTTTAAACTGGAGTGTCTAGTAAACAGTGATAAATAAAAGGTCTGATGCAGCCTCAGGAAATTACTTCATCCTTATCTCTGCATCTCTGCGTCTCTGCAGCGGCCTCATAAGGCCTGTCGCTGCTCTGTCGTCACAACGTCAATCTGTTCACCTTCTGCTCCGTCTTTGTCTGCATGTTTTCTCCCTGACATTAACTTTGTGTCCTTTTCAAGATGTTTAGTTAGCAGAAGCAACGATGGAGATTTCACAGGTAATTAAACAAAAAGCTTTTATTCAGAGCTAGAATGCCGCTGCAAAGATAAAGTGAGGATTGACCTAATGGGATTGATCTTACTAAAGTCTAGTTTCTTACAAGGCAAACGTGCACAAAATGATTTTTTTAAATTGATACCAAAGCTACTAGAAGTCTTACCTCAATGCCATTTAATAAAGATCTGAATTCAGGGCAAATAAAGGCACTCCCAGCATACGCTGCGTCGATGTGCATCCACATATTTTCCTTATTACCTGGAAATAAATGTAAGCAAATGATGTATCAGCAGATTATTCTACATTGTAAAACTAATAAAATAGAATATTTAAAGGAGCAGCTGTGGTTGCCAGAATTTCATTGTAAAAAATATAGACAATGACACAGTGCAGCAAATTTAGTTTAATTTATTTTAAAAGTAATGTTTTGTTTCTCGTCTCTGAATGAAAATGAGACTGAAGTTGTTCTTTTTGGAAATCATAAATCTGTCATTGAGTTAATTGATATCCTTGGCCCTCTTGCTCCTCATCGTTCCTCCACTGTCAGAAAGATTTAAGTGTTTATAGACAGTTCTTTTAAATTTAACAAATAACCTCAGTTATTAAAACAAGATTTTATCATTTACATCTAATTGCCAAAACTAACTCTTACATTTGTCCAAAAGACTTCAAAACTCTTGTCCATGCCATCATCATCTCTAGATAGGATGACTGCAACTCTATGTCAGTGATGAGCAATCGGTTCTCCATCTCCTGCAGTTAGTCCAGAACGCTGCTGTATGTCTTTAACAGAAGATGTGACCTCTTTACACCAGATTCAACAAATTTACACTGGCTGCCTGTTCATTTTGTAGCGATTTGACAATTATTTTACTTAATTTTAAAGTTTTAAATGGTTTAGCCTCCTCTTTGAATCACCACCTTATTATAGTGCAGGAGTTTGTGCACCTGAATGATTCTAGGCGCTATCTTGTCGGGGAAAATTGTAATTGCCTGGTAGTGTCTCCCAAGGTGACAGCACGGTGGCACAACTGGTAGAGCTGCTGCCTCTCAGCGAGAAGGTTGCCGGTTCAAATCCCAGTCCGGGGGCCTTTCTGGGTGGAGTTTGCATGTTCTCTCCGTGCATGCGTGGGTTTTCTCCGGGTGCTCCGGTTTCCTCCCACAGACCAAAAACATGCATGTTAGGCTGATTGGTAACTCTAAATTGTCTCTAGGTGTGAGTGAGAGAGTGAATGGTTGTTTGTCTCGTTTGTCTCTGTGTGTCCCTGTGATGGACTTGCGATCAGTCCAGGGTGTACCCCACCCGTCACACAGCAATTGCTGGACATGGGCACTGGCGACCCCGTGACCCAAAATGGAAGAAGCAGGTAAAAGATAATGGATGGATAGATGGATGGTCTTCCAAGGCAGATTGGTTCTAGGTGACAGACCAGATGAAGAGTGATTCCAAAAACTCATACGGACAGGGAAAAAAGCAAGGAGCTCAGTGGACCTTTCTCGGACATGGTTTACCGTGGCCCCACCCTGGAGCCAGGCCTGGGGGAGAGGCTCGTCGGTGAGCTCATGGGGCCCAGTCAGGCTCAGCCCGAACGAGCAACATGGGTTTGTCTTCCTGTGGGTCTACCACCTGCAGGAGGGGCCATACGAGTCGGGTGCATGACTCCATTGGCAGTGGGTAAATGCGTATGGCGCCTTGGCACTCTGACCCTGGCTTACCAAAACTGTATCTTGGGACATGGAGTGTAACCTCTCTAGCAGGTGAGGGACATAGAGTCATAGTGGGCCATGTTCCGTGCTTTAGTTGTTGAGGTGGCTGCCTTGAGCTGTGGCCACAAGGTTGTCGATGCTTCTCGCGGTGGCCATCCTTGAACTCATTGGTGGACACTTTGGGTTAGGAAGGTTGTCAAGCTGAAGAAGGAGTCCTATTGGGCCTTGTTGGTTGGTGGGACTCCAGAGGCAGCTGAGGAGTACCAGAGGGCCAAGAGTCAACAGCCTTGGCTGTTGCTGAGGCAACAGCTCAGATTTGGGAGGAGTTTGGTGAGTTAAGTTAGTTTTAGTCTATTTCATTATACTTGTGGGTATTTTTTATGTATGATTCTTAATTTATTGTATTGTTGTTTTTTGTTTGTTTGTTCTTAACCTCCTTGTGAAGAACTTTGGTCAGTATTGTTGTTTTCAAATGTGCTTTATAAACAAAATTTAGACTGACAGTGAATATTGTGAAATTCATAGTAAAATAGCAGCAGCTGTGGTTGTCAGAACAAACTTGTGTGCAAATGTGTAACATAAATCAGGTGTTTGTGTGTTTTTGTGTGGCTGCAACTTGTTGACTCACACAGCGGTCCCAGCTCGGTGATATGATCAAATGCACATGATGGAGTGGTGCCGAGGGTGGCACAGAACTGAAACACACATAAAACCAGCCATCAAGTCTCTGTTTGCCCTGTTCAGTGTCACAGCAAGAAGATCAGAATATTGATGAACAACAAAATGTGTTTTCAGGCCCAGCTGCTTCCCTACAAGCACAGAAATCTGTTCAACAAAGATGGAGGTGTCATTTGGACTCAGATTAAGCCTGCTCTCTATTTTTCACTGACAGTGATCTGCAGATGAGACCGGAGTTATTGGTCCTAACCAGATCGACTCCATCAGGTCCAACAGAAACAAAGTTATCCCTCAGCAGAACCTCGGCTGCAGCTCAACGAAATTACATCACTGGGACTTAAAGAGCAGCTGGATGTTAGAGCTGCAGATACATGTTGATCTGACTAAAAAAACATATTGTTGGCCTGTGTCTGCACATTTTTGTTGTTGTCTGTTTCTTACATAAAATGGGATGAGTCCAGCTGCTTTGTCTTCCTCCACCATCTTCCTCAGTGTTTCCTCTCTGATGGCGTAGTGTTGGTCTGCAGGAACCTTCCTCATCAACACGGCTCCAATGAGAGCTGCACGCTCTACAGAGGAGTGGGCCTTCAGGACCAAAGACACGCAACAATTGTCAGAAGGGGGGGGGGAGACTTTTCAAATTATTTCTGCTGAAACATCTACCTTTGATGACAGATACAAATTGAGTCTGGGGTATTATTCATTTCAGATTTCATACAAATTTGAAATTATGACAAAAAGTTGGTGCTAAGTAAAAAAAAAAAAAAAACAGACTCGTACAAGTAATAACTGTTAGTTTAACTTCTGGTATAAAAAGACCAATTTCATCTGTTTTCACTTTTTGTATTTTATTATATATATATATATATATTTTTTTTTTTATTTATTTTTTTTTTTTTTTAATTTTTATGTTTTTATTATTATTATTTTTAATATCTTAAATGTCATCATTTGCTGATGTTCTGCCTGTTGCGTACAAAGCAACATGTTCTTGGCCAGGATGATGAAAAACACAGAGTTCTCCCGTAAAGGTCTGCGTGGCCCTCAGGCAGCTCCGTAATCCAATCACAGAATCATCCTGCTGTTACACCAGATCACAGACCCACCACCCCCTCCCCTCCAAGAGACCAAAAAACCTTTACACGGGTTATCATTTGGACTTCACATGAACTGCAGGGAAGAGACAGAAACTCTACAAAAGCACAACTTCCTTTAAGAATAAAGTATTTTTTCTCACTCAGTTTTAAGATCTGTAGAGGTAAAAAGTTTATGTTGTGACTTAATAAACACAAAAAATGTCACAGTCAGTGTATTTAGAAACCCAGAGTGCTAAGGAGGCTTAAAGAACTCAGGCAAAAAGTAGATGATTTATTAAATTCAGGAAAATGAAAATGCTGAAGGGGCGGCTAACTCCACAAAAACAAGAATAAATAAAAAAATAAACAGGAATACAAACACTGGGAGGATCGAGACGGCATGCAAAGTACCCATAATGCACCACTGAGGGAGTTCTTCTTCTTCTTCTTCGTCTTGTGTTTTATGGCGGTTGGCAAGCAACGTTTAGATGTGCATTACCGCCATCTACTGGAATGGAGTATGGATCGGGATGCTAAATAATTACTATAGGTTTAACTAAATAAAATAATAAGAAAATAAGAGAAAAAAAAAAAAACTATATTCTCTCGATTATTTCCGTCTTCTTAAGGTAGCTTAACAAAAAAACAACAAGTTCAGAAGTGAGAAGTTTATCCAAAAGATCCTGTATATTCAACTGTAGTTTGTTGACCTGTAGTCTATGTGCCAGTTCCTTCCTCTCAGCTGAATATTTGGGACAGAATAATAAAACATGATTCACTGTCTCTTCTTGAAAACAAAAGTCACATTTTCCTGTAGGATGTTTTCCCATTTTAAACAATGTACTGTTTAATCTTGTGTGGCCAAAACGTAATCTGGATATGACTGTTTCCTCCTTTCTATTTCGTCCTGTTCTCCTCATCACACCAACTTTCCTTTGAATGTTATAAAACCACCTGCCAGTTCTTTCTTCTTCCCACTGTTTCTGCCATCTTTCCTTCACCTTTTGTTTAATAACTGATTTGATTTCTCCTTTACTGAATGGTACCAGTATATCAATGTAAGTATTTTTTGTTGCTTGTTTTGCATATTTATCTGCCAACTCATTTCCTTTTATTCCTATATGTGATGGTATCCATATAAATGTAATTAATAAACCCATCGCTTGAATTCTATAAATTAATAATTGAATTTCTAATAAAAGGTCAGGTCTGCTGTCTGAATGATTATTTTTCAATGAGTATAATGAAGAACTTGAATCAGAACATATTATACTCCTTAATGGACGAACTTCCTCAATCCATCCCAGAGCTAAAATGATTCCTATCATCTCTCCTGTGTAGACTGAGACTCCATCAGTAATTCTTTTACCTGTTTTGAAACTGAATTCTGGAACAATGAATGAAACCCCGCTACTGTTATCTGAATTTTTTGATGCATCTGTATAAATTTTAACATATCCATAATACTTACTATCTAAATATGTTTGTATTGAATGAGAATCTGAAATGTTTTCTTTTTTACGATTTTCCAACAAAGTGAGATCAACATCACTATTACTTAAAAGAGATGGGTGAACTGGAGACTGAGGAACTGTTTGACTAATATTTATGTGAGATATATCTAAATCTTTTATAATGTTTTCTACAGTCCAGCCAAATGAATTTAATTTCTTTTTCTCTTTTTCCCAGCTAGGTTTTAAAATCTCTTGACATGGATGATTTCCATTATGACCTTTTAACTGACACCAGAAAGTTGAAAGTATTTGTAATCTTCTAAGCTGAAGTGGCATTTCTCCCATTTCCACCAGTAAAGCTGATGTTGGAGTTGTTCTGATGGCACCTGTACATAATCTCAAGGCTTGATGCTGAATATTATCTAATTTTTTGAGTAATGTATCTGATGCTGACCCAAATGCTATACTGCCATAATCAAATAAGGACCTAATTAAACCTGTGTATATTGATTTCAGTGCTTTCCTCTCAGCTCCCCACTCACTCCCCACCAAACACCTCATTACATTTAACACTCTCTTACATTTATCTATTATGTTTTGAATATGCACTTTCCAAGTAAGTTTGTCATCTAACCATATACCCAAAAACTTAAATTGGTTTACCCTTTCCAAATCATGATTATATATTTTCAATTTTACATTTTCTGATACCTTTTTTCTTGTAAAAAATAAAGTCTTCGTTTTATCTATAGAAATTTTGAATCCCCATTTAAAGGACCAGTTTTCTATTTCATTAATTGCTTCTTGTGTCTTTTTTACAATATAATTTAAATTTTTCCCCCTCTTCCAGATTGCCCCATCATCAGCAAATAAAGAAAACCCCATTCCATTCTCCAAATTTTCAAACATATCATTAATCATAATAGAAAAAAACAATGGGCTCAATATACTTCCTTGGGGAGTTCCATTTTCAACCAAAAATTTTTCTGAAAATGTTTTTCCTATTCTCACTTGTATTGATCGATCTTGTAAAAAATCTTTTATCCAATAAAACATTGAACCATTTATTCCCATCTTTTTTAGTTTTATTAATAAACCTTCCTTCCACATCATATCGTAAGCTTTCTCTATATCAAAAAAGACAGCCACCACACTCTCCTTATTAACTTGTCCTTTCCTGATTTCATGTTCTAAACATAAAACAGGATCCATACACTGTAAAAAAAAAACTGTAGTTTTTACAGGAAAACTCTGGCAG